GCAGTTTTTTTCTCCTACGTTTTGTTTTTTAAGTGGGGGTCCGCTGAACTCTACCCCCGCTTTAATGGTAGGAGTTCTTTTTCACTGCTTCCTCCTTAGTTCGCCATGCGTTTCAGAGAGTGCTGACTATTATTTTAAAATGAAGATATGTTGGTGGATGTGAATTTATCTGCCTACATTACTAAACGCTCCCGCTGCCTATGTGGTTGTTCAAGGAGAGCAGCATTTATAAACTTTGTATTTATTTTTCCACAGCACTTAGTTTGCAATGACGAGGCCGTCCGGGCCTAAAATATAAAATTTATTTATTTATCGTATCCAGCTGAAATTGAGGAGTGAGGTGTGTAATTTGAATGATGGTTGTGTACAAAAAATTTGCACATGCGAACTACGAATGAGGCCATTTCTGGATGGAGTTGTAACGCGACCCTTCCAATGATGATCTTACTGTAACTAAAAAGAAAAATATAATGGGTTTGTTGGCATAAATTTTAATGCTTATCTTTGTCTGAAGGTAGACTGTGTATACGTGTTATCTTGTGTGTTTCCATACAGAAACTATTAATCAGATGGATTTTAAGATTTCCCTTTATTTGCTCTTCACACAAATAGCCCTGTTTAAGGCCAGTGGTGCATTTGGCAAACCGGAAATGGGGGCTATATATTTTTTTCTTTCCACTTAGCTTCTGGCGAAGATACCAGATATAGCAATCGGACTAACGCGGGATCCGTCCTCCTCAAACATCCAATTCATCGTAAGACAATCCTTATTCCTTAACACTGATATATGTATATCCATTCATTTATCTCTATCATTATTCAAGATCGTTCTTGAAATCACTTATTTCGTAAGCAGACAAAATAACCTCGTCTGTTACTGTTATGAGTGATTGGCAGGGAAATTTTTGAATTTTGCTGAAAAATCTCCTAAAGGACATTAGCCTCAATGCCAATTGAAATCGGATTAGAAGGATCAGATACACAATATTTTATTTTTTGCCATAATGCTAGAGCTGGTGTGCATTTGCATGTCATAAAGGACAGAAGAAACACGGTGATATCTCGCTCAATCGTATGAACATGTGAAAAAATGTTCTAGCTTATTGAAAACCACCACCACTGTAATTGCTTTTTGTTACAACGCTTTATGGAGATAGATATAGCATGAATGCCATCAATTTCGATTTCATTTTATATAGGCCTTCGTGGCTCCTTCACAGCTTGACGTCAATCGTCATTATATTTCGTCTATCGATAACATCACGATTGGTAATCAGTTTTATGGTGCACGTAATCTCTCTTGCAGATAAAGATGAACATCAACATCAACATCTTAAAATGACCGGCAATATAAACCCTCAGACCCCTCTTCGTCACTACCAGAGGCTTTGTCACTTAGCCCTTCTGACGCCTACTTAAGCAGTGTTCCATTAGGCTCCTGTTCCTAATAGTGAAGCATAGAAGACATAAAATTGCCATTAAGAAAAAGAAGCTGGCCAAATTTGTTCCAATAACACAAGAGAGAACGCCGGCGCACATAGAGACAAATCGGTAAAATGTACAGTCTTCTTTTCTGTCAGTAATTGTGTCAATCTTAAAGATTGTACGCATACACTTAAAGAAGAATTCTGATCATGTAAGATTTTTGGTATAGTGGAGCTAGTTAAGGGAGTTAGCAACATCTTTTTTTAAAAATTTATGACGTTTCTAGATATAGTCAATTCCGTGACAACTGTTTTAATATGCTATTTTCATGATAGAGATTTAATTGGGTTGCCCGTCACACTTGGCGCGTGTGTTGTAAATTGCTTAGACGATGGTCAGTTTCCACACTTCTTAATTCTCCGTACATTTAGGCATCCAAAAAAGACATATTTTTCGGAATCCTGTCTGTCATCGGCGGTTTTCTGATACATTTTACCTATGGGCATTTTTACACTATTGGTAAGTTGTTTGTTTAACTAATTTCTTAAGGGAATCTTATAACTTATATTACATCGTACATTAAGCAAAAAGTTGACCCAGATTTCAATACCGGATCAGCTGTATGGATTTCTGCCATTGCTTTGGCCGTCCAGGGTATATCTATGCCACTTGGAGGTGCACTTCTCCCTAAGATAGGATATCGAGCTGTTGTGATATTTGGAAGTGCGATAAACAGGTATGATTTAATTATGCTATACTAATGGGCTACATATTATTGACAGTGCTCCCATTTTAAATTACTGAGAAATCCGATTTTTTCAGAATAACTATGGTGTGTGTTGTTATGTTAGATTTGCAAAGCATACGCACATTGTGCCTTTTATGTTCTTCCGTCACAACTTAATTTTGCCTCTTAACCAAAACAGGTTTCTAAGCTGTAATCAACGTAATAGCTGGTGCTAGATTGTATGTAGTTTTTGCTTATTGTTCCATTCCAGATTTACTTTTTCCGCTTAAATAACGATATCGCATAATCTATGAATCATTAAATCCTTGTACACCTTTTGTCTCTAGATTGTGAGATAATATAAATAGGTTAATACGTTCACGTTTTATTTAACTTCTGCTCGAAAAATGCTTACGATCCAGAGTTGCTTACATTTCTACTTGTTGTCTTAGTCAAACTGACTTTATTGCACTGAATTCTGTTTTCAAATATTAACCCCTATAATTACATTTGCATATCGTTTCTTTTAGTGGGAGTGTGCTGCTTACGTATTACACCATCCAAAAGGGTTTTCTATACGTCGTTCTTTCTTATGCTGTCCTACTTGGGTTCGGATTTGGATTTTCATATGCCGTTATATTTTCAGTAGCGGCTTCTGTAAGTGATCCATTTTGTATATATTCCTTAAAAGTGCGGATATGTTTTATTCAAGAATGTTAGCGCATGTATAGTATAAAGCAACAACTTTCAAATGAGTTAACTCTTATTTTGCAGGTTATGGCGTCAAAATTTCCAACATCACTTAGATGGGTTCATGGTGATTTAGGAAAATTTTGCTAACTATAGATTTTCTGAGATATTATTTCAGTTTTTTGTCGTCTACTGCTTTGCGTTTGAGATTAATCGGTTATACTTCAACGGATGATTGCCCTGTTTTTATATAATGAACCATCCTGACATCGGCTTTTCAGAAAAGAAACTGATTTGACTTTAACTGCTCTTAATTAAATTATGTTTTCTTATTGCACGTGAAAGGCTTCTACATTTCCCATATTGTCAGAAATGTGGAAGCGTTTTCGCAGACAGGGTGAATGCAACTTATCGAATATTCATAATAATGGACTTTGCCCGTAAATTTCAAAAATATACATACAAATAACAAGCTTCGGGATCGTTTATAAGTGTCCGCCAGTCCTCTCGCTGCGTTCTACTGACGGCCAGACGGCATAAAGCCACAGTTTCTTTTTTGAGCAACTACATATTATTAGTTTTCTTGGCCGTTGTTGGAAGCAACAGCTGAGACAAGAAGCACTCTGATTACCCTTTTTCACCTTTCCGCAGTACAGTTTTCGAATTTCGAGTTTATGGTCTACTTCAGTGTCCGTAGTAAAAGATGCACGTTCGTCCGGGATATCGTACAAATTACGTCCATGGTTCAGAAGACTTCTGAGTTCTGAACTATTACATAAAACGTCTTTGCCTACCAAACAAGCAGTTAATTAGGGTTTTCAAACACAGTGCCTAACCTAAATCAGATGACTCCCCTTAAAGCTTACAACCTAACGTTCGAGTTAGTAATAATTTATAGTTTCATCTATATATCCCATAATGTTTCTGCAGGCAAAGTGACTAAAGGTAATACGAGCGGCTTAGGCTACAAGAAGGCTGAAATTCGCTCCGCCAATTAAACTTATTAACCTTTTAAAATGTTACTGTCAAAGAATGCTAGATTATATAGCTGGTCGCATATATACGTCTTGATTTTTCTTTCAGTTCTTTCTCTAAACTTCCTAGTACTCTAAACGAAGCGTGGGAATCATTAGAGCTGTAATGTCATTGTGCCTATCGCAGGGGGTTAAGTGGGTCAAACCCAGCAACTGCGATCTTCAGACCATGGTTACTTAGTAGAGAAGAGAAGTCGATTAAGGCCGGAGTAGTTGGAAGAATATATTGTGTACACAAGGGAAAGGAGAGTAGATGAGAGAAGATTGACTTGGGAGAGCCCGACCACCAAGAAGATCGACCGGGTCCCAAGTGCGGTTTATTAGCACTCAGGACAGTAGACAGAGAGTGGGGAGAGAGCGTTAATTGGTTACGTCGGCCTGTGATTGGTTGGATGGCGTGTTGGATGGTCCACATCATGCGCGCTACTAAGTCTGGCGACCGCAACGACCTTGAGCTCCAGACAGATTGAGGCCACGACAGGAAAGCCAGACATCGGAAGGCAAGGACCCACTACGTGCCCAACTGTATGTCGTATATTCAAAGTTGCGGTTTTGTGTCTGTGTTGATATCTGTCCGTCGTTCACAGTTTCGTTTAAAAAGGCCTTTAAGCTTTATATATAAATGCATAGGCGGATAGACATTACCGACAAAGACATGGAACACTAGAATGACCATTTGTGATTTATTAGCCGTCGTGAGCTAGTGATAGCTAACTCCAGTGTTGTTCCTGAAATGTATTTATACAGGTCCTTACTTCTTTTCGAAAGAATTTTTCCATAAAAAGTACGTGCGTTCCAAACTAAATGGTTGCAACCAGAAAGAGGCGAGCCGGCTTTTTGCTTTCGACCCTTAATTGAATAACAAATATTTGGAGTGTACACAGTCCTTTCCGCGTTTTTGACTTTTGCGTCTTAAACCAAGTTTTTAATATTAGATTCGACGCGCTATGAGAGTACGCCATCACAAGAAGTCGAAACATGAACATATGTAGCCTAAAATACCTGTTTGGGTTTTAGCGAACAGAATTTATAAAAATGAAGGATACAGTAAACGAATTTTAAACTTAGTTTTCAAAAAGAATTGTTTGCAGTCTTCGCAAACAGACTGTTTCCGTACTTACGTACCATTTGATGTCCACTCCGATGACTGCTGTGCTTTGTACGCACTGATATCTGACCTGGCATCTTGCGAAATTACATCAACAAAAGCGACTTTCAACGATAATCCTTACCTACTATTATGCTTCTGTTGCTAGTCGTTGTAAAAATGACAGAAGTACTTCATATAAACTCTTTCACGACACGGTAGGTCCAGCGCTTTGCCTAAAGTTTATCCACTACAATACGTCCTTTAGTTAAAATATTTATGCTTTTCATTCCTCAGTAGCCTTTATTAATAATTTTTAGTTCCCTTTAACAATAATTGTGTTCTTCTCATCGAACCCAATGGCTCTAATCTTTCGCAATTTTAGTGGTTTCCCGCCCGCCGCGGTCTTATCGTTGGTATCATTGTCGGCGGATTTGGCATCGGTGCGCTTGTCTTTACTCCAGTTCAAACTGCCTTTATTAATCCAAATAATGTGGCCGTAAACCAAACCACTGGGTAAGTTACTGACTCGCATTCATTTTTGGACTGAAGCCCCACCCACGTTGGCCACCGTCCAAGTCAATAATCATGTTTCGGTCTGCGCATACGTCTGGTTTTTAAAGCGGTAAAATTATAAAGCCTCGAGCTAATTCATACTCACTTTTCATTTTGTACGCAGTCCTCTTCAGTCCTCAAACTGCTAATGGTCGCGCAGCTTCTCACACCGCCGTTACTGTAGGGTCAGTCTCCAACGCCCCTTCTAACTAAATCATCTACTGATAGCTGACTAACGGGATCTCGTTCGACAAAGTGTCTGGTCATTGATAATTTGAAATTTAATTAAATTAACCAATTTAATTTGTTGTCCGCCTGGAAGATGCAGCACACAGTCTATCTCGATAAAACTGTTTGCAGAAAGGTATTAATGATCCTTTTAACATTTCATCCTTGAATGGTTAGCAACTTATAGTGCAAAAGTGGACCACGTACTATTTTATAGGAAAGTGTAGTCAACTGAAGTTTTTCTTAGAAGTTCCGAAGTCTAATTGCAGCAATGTATCTATCTATTTTCTTTGGGCTTCTTTTGGTTCATGTAAAAGCATAATACACATGAAATTTTACTTAAGACGTGAAAAATCAACCGAATTTTATTTTAAAGTCTTCGTACCTAGACGTGTGGATAGGACGAAGAGACATCGAACATCGAGATGTATAGTGGGTAAATATGACTCATATGGTAAAAGTTTAAGCTCATCATAAGTTAAGCTCTATTAGGGCATGAGAACTCACACCACCCAGGTCGCTTCGTACAACATTCCAGGGAAAATAGAATGGTTTAATGGTCAGTGTTAGGTTTCGGGTTGGGGTTCAGGTAAGCTACTGTATGTTTACAGTTTAAATTAGGGTTAGCTTTAACTACAATGCTCGAGCGGGGCATCCATAGCCATCCCATATCCTGTTAAGGCGGGCATGTACGTCCTCCTTACCACACAATTTATTCTTGTGAGGTTTCGTGCCGCTTCACAATTCCATAAAAAGAGGTGACAGGTTAAAAGGTAGTCGAGTGGCCAGGCTCACAACATAACGAACATAATTGACTGCACCTTTATCTTTGTAATTGTTCCCGTATACATTTATGGCCTAAAAGTTTACTTATTTAAGCTAAATGCTCTTCTATATTCTCTCATCGGAATTCTTGCAACTTTGGTTGATGACCGGAGTTCTCACGCTCTAACTACCTCATGCCGTTTCAGATACATAAATCTACGGTGCTCTGTCATTGGAGCCGGCGGCTTTCTAGGGATACATTCTTTTTCGTCGTCCAGTAATATCCCGCATTCAACTTAGTATTTGCAGCGTTAAACCAAACAGTAAATGTACTTCCACTGCCAGAATAGGTCATACTTTACTATATCATACATGAGAGGGGAAAGTTTTTGTGGACTTAAAGGCTACTAGGTAGTGTTTCTCATTAAATACCGGTCTTAAACCGCAGCCGAATCATTTGTGACCGCAACTCGGCGAATATGGGTTCAGCAAAGTCTTGCAAGACGTCAGGATCGAGGTATGTGCCATTTTTAACCAGCCAAAACTGCTACAAGAATACCACTATCATGAAACAGAATACTAGTCAATTTTCCTAACTTACTACGCGTATTTGTGTGCAGGGACAGTACTTGTGGTAGTAACACCCGCGCTCGTATCCTTAGTGGCGTAACTGATTTGAAACCCCGCCCTTGTGCAAGTCCCAAAAACATGGTGATCAATACGTCTGACTATTTTCCGCTTTCGTTTTTCCTCATAAGAACAATATTCAGACGGTAGATTAGCTCAGGTCGTGTCTAGCAAGCGAATTGTAGAGATTTTAAGAATCCTCTAATGAGTAGAAGTACCGCTTGTTTACATGATTATAAAACGTGGAAGACTCTGGTTTTGGAACCACAGTGGAAGGACAGAGAAGCGTCTTATAATTACAGTAGTCGCCGGTTATTAAGCCCACTTCGGGCCCAGACCAAAC